ATTGGAGCCTTTTTGGGTAAAAGAGTTTGATCTCACCAGGGTACTGCCGTTGCACACTCATATTTGCCACCACCTTTAGTTGGGTGTTCACAGTTGCCTCCCTGAGAGAAGTTCCTCATAAGCCCTGGCATGTTGCCCTACAGGACTGATTCTGGTAAAGCTAGGAGATCACAGAATCATAGAACTGGAAGGGACCTCAAGCTACTATTGTTCAGGCATATGTATTTATAGCAAGAAATGGGTCTTGGGGCAGTTAAATGGCTTTTCCAAGAATTAAATGACTTCCAGGGGGAAAAAAATGGAATGAGATGTGCAAGAATGACTGGACAATTGGCTTGAATGTCCTCAAATAAAAAGAGTTTCATTCCCAGAAGGAAATTCCCTTTGTCTGTAGTATGCAAGCAATTTCCAGGTCCAGTTCTCCCCCATCAAACTCCTTAGTGAAGGGATTATGCTTATTTTGATCCTGAGTGCTCTCATCTCAGCCAAGTGCCTTTAGCTTCTCCTATGCTGAGCCTTCCAGATTTCCTAATATGTTATGGTTGGTTTCCTGCTCTAGAGAACCCACTTTTGGCTATCTGCCTAAAACATCCCTTTTTGATATTAATTTGATATCAACTGATGAGGGGTAATTGTGGGCTGGATCCTTGGCTAACAACATCCATGCAAACAGCCCTGTGGCATGGGAACAGAGGGCTCCAGATCTTCCCAGAAAACCTGGAGTAAGAGGTATAGTTTTTAAATTCATTCTAAGGTTGTTAAACCCTGGTTCTTGTGCTGAATGTGCCAGGTGCTGTCCAGACTGTTCATACCAGAACTGGGGTTTGGGCCATGTCATCCAAACAAGACATCGCCATAAGGGGAGTGGCAGAACTTTTGGCTATGCAGACAAGACCATAATGGAATAATGCTTTACTTATAATTCTAAAGAATAGAACCAAACTGAAATGTTCCAGTATTGCTATGTCTGTGATTCACCCTGAAGGGGATGCATATACACATATATATCCATGAATACTTATAATAAATAGCCTGAAATATTGGATCCCATTTTGGGAGAAAGATGGGTTATAAGTAAGTAAGTAAGTAAGTAAGTAAGTAAGTAACAGCCTGAAATAGTACCAGAAGAGTCTGTTTTTTCTCAGAGAAATATCCTGACATGGAGATATTTAAGCGGAACGTTGATGTTAATCTGACCTGTCTGGTTTAACCATTATCATAGGCTGGGTGATCAGAAGTTGATAAAAGGGATCCCAGAGAGAACCCAGGATAAGCAACAAGAGCCCTCAATCCCTCAGTCTGCGAGACAGGGGTGGGGAACCATGCCTATTTCACAATGTTCTGAGTCTTCTGTAGAATCTTATTTTTGGTAATAGGGGGAGAGATTTAGGGTTGCTAGACCTCTGAACCAGCATGACATAGTAGTTTGAGTGTTAGACTATGACTCTGGAAACCTGGGTTCGAACCCTACCTCAGCCACGAAAAACCACTGGGTGACTTTGGACAAGTCACACTCTCTCAATCTCAGAGGATGGCAATGGTAGAACCCCTCTGAAGAAACTTGCCAAGAAAACCAACTGATAGGGCCACCATAAGTCAATAACCAGGGCACACAGCAGCAACAACAAAGTCTCTGATAGTCATGGGAATCAAGACACCTAGGGATTTATGGGGCACTGTGGCTCACTGAAAATCCATGTTTGCCCAGTCTGTGTTAGAGTGATTGATATTAGCTTGCTCCTTCTGAGCTGTCATCTACAATGTAAGCACATTTCTTCAGCCTTAAGAGTGGCAAACTTTTTCTGAAATAGAAAGACAAACAGGTTTTTAGGGATCTCCATTCTGAACCCAGGATCATTTGCAATTGCTTTATACTAATATCACACACAACTGAGTTAAGAGGAATTCTCTGGAAGATTTCTGTGTCTTTCCCCCCAAAGGAGATGGAAGAATCCAGTCCAGAGGACAGGGGGGCAGGGGTGCCAGAGACATGTATTGTTGTGAAACCAGGACCTGCCGCTTCCCAGGTAAGCCTTACATTTCTCCCTGAAGGACCCTTTGCCCTGCCAACTCTTTTGAAAAACCCATCAAAGTGAAACCTAGACCTAGAATCATAGAATCATAGAGTTGGAAGAGACCACAAGGGCCATCCAGTCCAACCCCCTGCCATGCAGGAATTCCCAATCAAAGCATCCCTGACAGATGGCCATCCAGCCTCTGCTTAAAGACCTCCAACCTGGCCACCTGGAAGCTGGAAACTATTTGTAGCCCCTAGGATTTCAGTTTAGATTACATGAAAGAATTACTTATCCAAGTTGGAAACTAAGGGTACATCTACACTGTAAAAATAAAACAGTTTGACATCACTTTAACTGCCATGACTCCATCCTACAGAATCCTGGGGTTTGTAGTTTTGTGAGTCTCCAGCACTCTTTGGTAGAGAAGGCCAAAGATTTTGCAAAAATACAGATCCCATAGGATGGAGCTACAGCACTTAAAGTAGTGTCAAATTATTTCTACAGTATAGATATGCTCTAAGACTACTGAATAATGATGCCCCGTAATCCTCAACTTCTCTTCTGACTTTGGGAGACAAGGAAGGAGACAATTGAATGACATCTCAATAGATTGCAGCCATATCCAGAAAGAAAATTTCCCTGTCAAATAAACCAAAAGAAAAGTTAAATGCAGAAGTCTAGAGGAGGAGAGTTAAAGCAACTGAAAATACTGGAGAGATTAAAAGGCTGCAGTGAAGAGTTGTTGAGGGTGTGAACAGAGAGAAGGCCTCAGACATTAGCTTCTTTTGGATAATGGAGCTTCCAAATGATTTAGTTGATCTGTCTTGCCTCTTAAAATGGCAGCCCAAACCCCTCACAGAACTGCAAGCTGGAATCCCTTGGGCATAAGTCAGTTTTGCAACGCCATCCCCTTGCCTGGAGACACCCAGCCAGGGAACTGTCTGTTTCTCCCTCCTCACAGGCCCCTGTGGAAGGCATGGCAATCCTGCATCAGTTCCCCTTTTCCTCTGCTCTGCTGAGAATGTCAGTCATCACCCAAGAACTGGGGAAGAAGGATGTCTACGATCTCTACATGAAGGGAGCCCCAGAGATGGTGGCCAGCTTTTGCGAGCCAATGACAGGTATGAGGTGAAAGTCCAGCTTACCCCGTTGTGTCTGGCCAAAGCTAGGGAGGGAAACCAACTCGGTTCCTTGCCCACAATGGGCAACACTGGTGTCAGCAAAAGTGTCCAAAGGTCTCCTGCAGGCAAAGACCTGTGAAGATGCCTTTGGCCCAGTCAGGCTTCACAGACGTATGCATGCATGCATGCATGTATGTATGTATGTAATGTACATAAAGGAACCCACAGCATCCACATGTTGGCTACATACCAGTAAAGTGGTTGCATAGAGTAAGGTTACCCTAGTGTAGCTACACTATGGGTGTGGTTCTGCCACCTGTGAACTGCATCATACCATTGCAACTGTAAATGATTGCAAGCTTTCCATTATGCTGATGCATGTTCCTGCTGCACAACAGTTGAGAGACTTCCAGTCAAAGCACTTACACAACATCTTCAAAAGCACAATTGGTTGTGTAATGCTGTTGCAGCAGAGGTCACCAGTAGAATTTTAGCCATGGTGGTGTTGCTTGTACCCTGCTGTCTGAATAGTGAGATATTCTGGGAGTTCAGCACTTACTTTAAAAGTTTGTCTAGTTTACAGTCAACACAGACTGGCATCATCTGCCAAAGGCTGCAGCAGGATTATTTTGTAGCCTAACAAAGAGATGCTGCCAGGGATTGAACCTGGGACCTTCAGCATGCAAAACAGGCACCCTGCCACTTAGCTATGGCTCTCACAAGCACTGAACAATTTTTCCTGGCCCTAAGCAAGTTAGGAACTGCACTCTCTCTTTCTCTCTTTTTCTTTCTCTCAGCTTTCATGCAAGACTATTGTGATATGTAGGGAAACAAAGATCTTTGGGCTTAATCTTGCCTTTGGGTTGCCTTTGTTTGAATACTACATACATTAATTGTTCATTTCAGTTCAAAAGGAAAAGCTTTGTTTAAAGATTTACTGGGGATTAAGCTCCTGAGCTTATGTAATGCTTAATTAATTCGTGGAATTCATTGGCACTGGATAATTTAAAGGCAACTAGCATAAGAGGCTTTTGAAATGGATTACTGCAGGTTCTCTAAATGAATGTCTCAAACACCTTCCCCCTTTTAAGCATGGAAGAAGAGCCATATTGGACCAAAGGCTGGTCCAGTCCAGTATTCTCTCCTCATGCTGGCCAACAATCCCACAAGCAGCCTATTTCTGCAACACCATCCTCCTGATTTGCTCATCAACAACTGATACACAGAGGTTGCCATCTATGCCTCTGGTA